CAGGCAGCGGTTAGCTGTATGAAAGAGAAAGAAAGTCAGGGCCTTCTTGGCAGGGAAGGTGAAGTGTGACTCGGGGTAAGCAAGGACGAAGCAGCGCAGGGGGGGACTGGGAATGTCCAGGAAACCGGCATGCGGGCACGCGGTGCAGTGTGTGTGGTGATTTGGGTAGACGGAGCGGAGCCGGGCGATCGAGTGTTACGCGTACAGTGCGCTCGTCCGTAGCCTTCTTGCCTTGGACCCAAACATGGAAGAAGCCCGCTTGAGCGACACAGGGGATCACCTCAGCTTCTTTCTAGGTACGCGATGGAGGGGGGACGACTCGGAGATGACCAGACGCCGCCGGATCACGGAAGCAAGCGCAGGCTGCAGAGTGCAGAGGGGACGCACGTGGAATGCGGACGTACTGGGGGAGGACCCTGAGCGAGCCCAGGAGGGGGAAAAGACGAATGGAGACGCTATGCTGCACCAATAAGTGGAAGAAGACGAGTGTGATTAGACTCGGGAGGCTGAGGAGGAGGGTGGCCGAGGTGGCTTGCAACAAGCCCGGCAGTGTAGTGTAGTGTATATGGACTAAGCGTGGAAACTCTAACGAACAAGGGCCGGGAATAGGTGAAGAGAGTATGTAGGTACTATCTAGCTGGATGGCCACCAGGATAAGGTAGATGTGATGTGGTAGTGAGTGTAGTGGTAGTGTCAAGGTGTATAGCAGTAGTGGGTGTTTCCGGGATGGATGTATGGCATCGATGTGGTGCGTGGTTCTTGGCTGGCAGCTTCGCAACGGAACGTGGAGAAAAAAAAGAGAGTTCCAACATACGGGATGGGAAAGTGGAAGACGGGATGGAGGAATCGGAATCCGGCTCTGCCCTAACAGCAAAGACGATGGGAGCCCCTCTGGCCGTGGGTTTGGCAGGACTCGGTCTTGATTGGTGGTCCAGAGACGGGACGGTCGACGAGTGACGTTGCGTCTATCGAACGGCGTGTGTCCCGAGGGCTGTGAAAGGTGAGAAGAGGCGAAAAAAGAGAGGCCTTTCTTTCTTTGCCGAAGCTGGAGGGAAGCGCGTGAGGGAAGCCCCCGGGTCGTCTGTCAAGTCCAAAAAAAGAAAAAAAGGGAAAAAAAGAAAAAAAGAGGGTAGTATGAGGTTGTTGCCCAAGGAATGGGCCGGGTATCACAAGGACGAATGCTTTTGGGAAAACAATTCGACGCAGGATTGGACCATGGTTGAATTCAGTTGTGTGATGCAATGGGCAGGTGGCCGCATCCACGGTCTTACTTACAAGTGCAGTGCACCACAAAGTGCAGTCAGTCAGTCAGTCAGTGCCTTTGAACTCTATGAATGAGAGTGAACCGCAGCCGGCCGTTGGTCCTACGGTGCAGACTCTCTGCAGCTTCATTCACACGCGAATCCACACTTGATAAGTAACGCTTCCGGATTAGGTTGTAGCCACTGGCCCTTCCTCAGGGAGAGAGACCTGATAGGGCGGGGCCCCTTCTTTGTACTCGCCGTTCCCCTCTTGGCGGCCCAGCCGACGAACGGCAAAGGGAACTGAAGGAAGGCTCAGGAAGCTCACAGACACCCCGAGCGGCCAAACGAAGTGGCAGGTCGGCAGACGGGACCTAGGTACATAGTACACTACACTACACTACACTAGCTACATATTTGCGCGCCCCTCTTTTTTTGAACAAGTCTTGGCAGCCACTCACACCAAGTCACCACCACTTCTCGCGGTCGAGAACATCACAGGGGCCTGCCAATCCCGCACCGCTTCCCCCCGCCGGCCCCGCGGCCCGCGGGTTTTCCTTGTGCCCATTGGCCCTCGAGAGGGGTGTCCAATGTTAGCTAATCCACCCCATGCCCCATCTCCAGCGCCGCAAAATGGGAGAAAATGCGCCCTTTTTTGGGGCCCAAAATGAGGGCATTGCAATGTGTGCTGCCCTGCCCTGCCCTGTTTCCAACCGTCGCCCATGACCCCGGCCCGTCATTTCGGGGTTACGGACTCATCGCCGCTCGGCGCGCCCCGTCCACGTCGTCGCCAATTTGTTGGGTCAGAATGATATCATATGCAAACATGTCGTGACCTTCTTCACAGCCTCCCCCAAATCCCATCCGCTTTGGGAATAGGACCCTGAGAAAGTTGAAACCCCATCCAAGAAAACGGTACATAAAACCCTCGCCCCATCATATACACTACAATTCGGTGCTGCACCTTATGTACTGTGTAGCCTAAAGACTTGGCAGCATTTAAAGCCGGCGGAGGCCCCGCGAAGCCGACGTCAGTCACTAGGTATGCCAATCCCTCAACTTCCCCCCCAAGACGGCGTCTCTTGGCAGATTCCGACATGATGACCTCAGCACAAGACACACCGAAAAAGGACATGAAAGATGTAGAAAAAAATATGAAAGCCCATTTTCCCCCTTCCCATGACCCTTTGTCCATGTTCACGACACACCCGGATTATCGGACATTGACCATGAGGTTGACTCCACAGCAATGATGCTCCCTTGGTGTGGAGTGAACATGATGCTAGCACAGACCCTGCTACTGTACCCTGGCATTGCCCTGCCCTGCCTGGCAAGGAAGCGCCAGCCGAGAATTTTCCAGCAATTACGCTGCACCCCGAACGTTTTCGGACTGGCTTGACTAGTCGCATCCTGATAACGGACGGGAGGGAGCGTGTGTGCGTGGGAAAGTCGAGAACGTGAGGCTCCTCCGAAAAGAGGAGTGTCGTTTTTGAACGACGGGTCTCATGAGGTTCAGTTAGGTGTGCCCGACTTTCGAACGAAGGGGTCCCGATTCTTTTCACCTACACTATTTGTCAACCCCTCCCCACCCTCACAGCCGATCGACAGAACCCTAGCATGGAAATCGCGATCGCCCTATGCTCTCTTTCGTGTGCTTACATATACGAAAATATCCTTTCCTTCGTCCACTGGCTTTGCTTCCTTTTTAGTTTTCACAGCATCTTCGCACTATGACTAAGTATGGAGAACAGTTAGCAAACCAACCCCCCGAACCTGCAACCCACAACTGCCACCGTACCTACGTAGCAAGACATGCGTTCGCATGAAAACCTATTGTTTGAAATATATTCAGCGCCTTCCCCAGTCTCGAAATGGAAACATCAGCCCGACTCGCTCTGGACGGAATTTCAAACAAGCATGGCGCGGAATAGACTTACAACAATCGTGTGTGACGAGACACACTTTGCGCACACCGTCGTCCACTAGCCCAAAGCTGAGAGCTTGTCTCGGTTCGGCAAAAACAGCCCTCGATTTCGCAGCGCGTTTTGCTCCTCTTGCATCAACATATTTCCCACCAAACCCGCCATGTACCATCATGTTATAAATTCGAGAACACTCTATGCATGAAACATTTTTTGATACCCGCCACTCGCAAGATCGACTATTCATCAGCCAGCATGGACGGATTCAACCATCAGCTTGTTCCTTTCTAACCTAGCCAGCACCCAAGAGTCGAAAAGCTGGGCCAGCCCTGGACGAGCGAGTCAAAGGTACTTAGTGTACTTAGTCTACACTACAGTAACACACCGAAATCCCCCCGATGATCTCCCAATGCTCCCTTCCCTCCCCCGGCCCAAGCAATGGGCGATGGCCCAAAGCATTGCAAAACATGGGATTTTCTCCCGATTCGCATACCAGCGATCGATTTCCCCCATCTGCTCATTACCACTCTGTTTTCTTCGAATTTGCAATGCAAATCCAGGAAAAGAAAAAGGGATGAACAGAAAAAGAAACACTACACACGTGTACACCGTCGATCTCTCTCTCTCTCTCTCTCTCTCTCTCTCTCTTTCTCATCCTTGTGATTGAAAACCAGCACACAAAGCAGGACAGACATTCAAAGCCCACCCCCCTTGATTGACTCCTTTTCGAACGAACATCTTGACCGTCTTAACTGACTTGACTGACCCTTTTTACGTCGACCCTCTTTCTTTTTTTTTTTTTTTTTGCCCTGCCCGCCTTCAACCTATCATTTGCCTCCCCACAAAAACTCGTAGCACACCTGAGACGGGCCGCCGCCGGTTCGTCCAGTTCCCGTCCTTCTTCTCGCTATTACTCATCATTACTCCTTCCTCCCGTGACTCCCACGCCCATCCTCCCGAGTCCCGTCCTCCGCTCACGGAATTGCTGCCAAAGACTACCTACACTACCCGACACTACACTACACTACACACTACACACACTACACTACACACACTACACTACTTTTTAGTGTAAGTACTATCAGAAAAAAAGAAAAAAAAGCACATTGCGAACCCACAAAGTCCACGACGGGGGACCACTTACCTAACCAATCGGTAAACCAAACAATGATAAACAAGTTGCTCCACCAAATGACGTCGATTGTCGCACTTTTGATTATTCCTCAAATAGACTAAGTAAAGGTATACGCAGTAATAGCCTCACACCCCCCCTGATGGACACTTGCGTATTATACAGTATACTAGGGCAAGATGTTTTTGGAGTACCTATCGGATCGATGGCAATAAACCTCGAGTAACCTTGCCGGCAGCGTAATACAGACATATATATACACACACACAAACGTAGAAACAGCCAAGGTACAGATAGTGTCAGATGAATGACGGTATGGCAATCATGGCACATTTGCAAGTTGTAGTGTACGTATGCACCCATTCCCGTTCAGAACGGGGACCCGGACCCAAGGTTTGTAAAATTGGTGTGGCTGCTTTGGATGACCCCAAAGAAAAGACCCCTGATCAGCCTCCATCTGGGTACTTATGTATCGAGGGTACCATGTACAATGCCATACTGCAGATACCCGCCGCTATCAGATGCTGGTGGTCTATCAACTCCATTGTATTCTATTCAAGGACCCTCGAGTACCTGTAGAGCTTTTCCAACCAAAGACGCAACACATGTGCTCATGTAGCAGACATCCAACCCTCCGATCTCCCCTGTATCCCACCCGAACTAAAAGGCAAGATTGGAACGATCCATGTTACATATCCTAGTCATTTACAAGTGTTTATGTGTTTTTATACGTGTAAGATAAATGGTTACGTGCGCTGGAGGAACGTTATGGTGTGCATGGTATCTCCATCAAATTCAGATTTCCGCTTCGACTCCTCTCGCCTTCTCCCCTACATGACCAAGGCCATCAATGGCCTGATTGCGTGCGCAAGTATTTCTCCACGCTCTTACCATGATTTCCCTACCAGTTCCTGTCAATTCCTTCTGGTTCCATGCCATCTATATCCTGATTTGCAAGTAGATCACCATCTTCTTAAGTCGACGTTTTGCTTTTCCTTCTCCTACGTCCATCAGCGATGTCATCTCTCTTCCACAGCCACTACCTCCCACACTTCTTAACTGCTAAACCGCTCCCGAATCAACTGCTGAGATTCGGGGCCAAATTGCTGCAGTACGGGGTCGGGCGAAGTACCGGTTGCTTGCAACAGGTTCTTGACAGCGGCAATCACGCGCGCAAGAGTCTGTCCGCTCAAAACGTCCACCTCAAGCGCCTGTGCGACGTAGTAGAAAGCTTTAGCGGGTTGCGAAATAACGACAGGATGTTGCCTATTTGCGGGTTAGTCGTTTCCAGTTCGCCATGTCAGGACAAGAGACTTACTTTTCAATTAGCTGGGTCATGAAAGCATAGGCATAGGGCGCCGCCTCCTCGTCGTTCAAGACCGGCAGAGTCTCAAACCACTGTGTCGCAACCTGGTCGGGGTTGGCGACTTGAGAAGAGTTGAAATGCAGGATCTTGGCGATGGCAGCGCAGGCATTCTCCGTAGCATACACATTGTCCTCGTTGCGCGCATCTGGGATCTGCGTAGCCTTGAAGAGAACTTCGACGGCTTGACCCACCAACGGCGCCCAAGCCTGGCCGCCATGGTGGGCAGCCACACCAATGCCATACGCAGCCGCTTGACGAATAGCGGGAGAGGCATCCTGGCAGCCGAGGAGCAGAGGCTCCGAGATATACTGGGCGTAGTGAATGCTCTCAGCACCACAGTATTCTAGGACATCATCCATAATGCACAATCCCCACTGTCGCTGCGTGGTATCATTCGAGCTCAGGAAGCTGCTGTAGGTGGGAAGCAGGCGGCTCCATGCGCTCAAGAAGCTTGCGCCGTGATACTTGAAAACAGCATGGAACGCCTTGTTCATGTCCGAAAGGAGAGTCTGATCGTCCTCAATGGCCATCTGCATCTCTTCCGACTCGTCCTCGCCATCTTCACCTCCTTGCTCCTCCTCACGAGCGGCTGCCCGATCCTTGTAATCCTCAAGAGTGGAGTGGACACCGTCGATGAAGCGGCCCATGTGCGTCTCATCAAGGCAGGCAGTGCCGATAACCTCGATGGACTCATAGAAGCATTGATACATCTCCGCGAGCGTATCAATGGCAGGCTCGGCGCTAAGAACGTCGAGGAGCTGAACGACGGTGCTGGTCCACAAGCCCTTGAGCTCGTTGGAGCCGGGACCGTACTGCTTCTTGTACGAAATGAGCAATTGCGGAACCAGCTTCGCAGACATGTACCTGACAGGATCGTGGAAGAAGAAGGCCAGACCAGGAAGAGCAATCTTCTCCATGATGTCTGCGACATAAGGCGCAAAGTCACCCTCAAGAACCTGAGCGTACACCACGAGCAGCTCGATGGCCATGTTCTTATCGTCCATGGTGCTGGTACGGATACCAATAGTCTTACCACGGAGCGGGACAAGCTCCCACCCTTCCTCGGTCTGTAGCTGCTCAATCTGCTCGTCGTCTTCCAGAAGCTGGATATCGGCCTTGGCGCTAGCAAGCTCGAGGAGTGGCGGCATAACCTCGGGCAAGTAGGGAAGGAAATCCCTACCCAGCACACGGCACATTCTTCCCCAGCAGTGCATGAGGTACTGGGCCTGAGGATCGTCGGGATCAGTGATGTTTTGCTGGATGCTGGCCAAAAGTTGCACTAGCGCCATGGCATCCGCACCGAGACGCTCCTTTCCAACCGCAAGGGCGATCAGGGTGGCGCACTCCATCGCCTTTGCACGGAGGAGGCGGACCTCCTTCTCATTCTCGCGCTGCAACACTCCCATCAACAGGGGCATGAGACTATCATAGTACTTGGCAAATGCCTGCTCTGCGGCGTCAGCAATGGTGGCGATGGTGGACAAAGCCTGCTCTTGGACGTAACGCTTTTCATTTTGAAGAAGCTGGAACAAGTGCGACAAAAGGTTGTCAAGATAAGGCTCAAGGACGCTCTTGTCGGCCTCCTCACAAAAGTTAACAAGCGCCGCAGCAGCATGTGACTTGACCCGTGCCTCAGGTGCGTTAAGGACGGGCACAATGGCCGACAGCACGATATCGTAGTACTGCTTCTGCATAGTAGGAGCAAAGTCGGTGCTCATCTGGCCGAGGGCGTTGCAGCCAGCCCAACGGACACGAGGATGGGGGTCCTTCAGAGCCGGGACAACCAAGTCAAGGACCTGCTTCAGTTCACCAATCATCTCCTCGCGGCAGCCTTCTGAAATGGCGGACAGAGCCATCAAAGCAGCGTGACGGTCTCTCCAAGCCGGGGAGTTCATCATGCTAGGCAACCAGCCGAAGATGGGGCTGAGAATAGCGGCACCTCCGAGCTTATTAGCCAGACGATCGAGACACTGCTCACCTGCGACATGGTTGGAGTCACTCTCGTCGGTGTCGAGCTGCATAAACGCCATTAGCACATAGCCAATGTATGGGCCCCACAGAAGTTACAAGTGACTCAACAACTTACATCGTCGCAGCTAAGCCATTCGGCCGCATCATCGTCATCCTCACCAAGATCCGTCATCAAGCTAAGGCACTGTGTGATCATATCCTTGGTATAAGAAGCATCCTTCTTGCACATGGACGGAGCGTAATCGGCAAAGGTGGCCATAAGTTCCAGCGCATTTTGTCGGCAGAGGTCTGTGAGCTCCTTGTCTTGAATGACTGAAATGCTGAATCCAACAAGAGTCGAGAAGACGGTCTTGAACATCTTGGGGGAACTTTCGGCCAAGTCGATGAGAGCGATGAGGGCCTGGCTAAGGTCATCCGAATCTTGCGAGTCCTTGATAGGAGGAAGAATGTTGAGGAGCTGAGGAAGGAGCTCGAAGTACTTGGCCTGATTCTTCTTTCCTAGGCTGCGGAAAAAGGCCGCAAAAGCCTCCATAGCAGCAAGCCTGACAGCAACTGACTCGTCCGTGAAGGCTTTGGCAAATGCCATGGCTACGGCATCCTGATGTTGTTTCTCAATGATGCTAGGGGTAGCGTGGAAAATACGGAAGGCCGTCTCGCGCTTGCCAGCATCGGGTGCTTGGCTGAGGTTGAAGAGAGTCTGAAGTAGTTCTGGCCAATTTTGGTCATTGTCATAATATTGCCTAGCAACCTCGGCAACCGCATCACCAATCTTGTTGCGAACGTTTCTGTCTGTCTCGGCAAGGATGGCCTCGAGAATCTTGTTGCGGACAGCGACGGCCTCGGAGTTGTCAAGGGAAAGGAACATATCGGTAGCAGCCTCGGAGGTCGGCGTGGCTTTGCGAGTCTTGAGTGTTATCCGGCGGAAAATGACGGCGGCGAAAGAACGGACCTGCAAGGTTAAAAAACGAGTGAGTTATATGTGAGCAGTGACATGCTGAGGCGACCGGCCCAGCAAAAGAGGGTTGCGAAGAAGCCATACCGAAGCGTCGCTTGATCCAGCAATCTGCTCAGCCAAGCCCATCAAGAGGAGGCCGGGCCGGGAGCTGGTCCAGTTGTTTTGCAAGTGCTCCTCAGCCTGAGAGCGAATGTTGTTGTCGGCCGACTGAAGAGCCTGGAGCAGCTGGCTCAGCTCGGCCGTGACATCGGCAGGAAGGACCGACATGATGAATGATGTATGTTGCGAAGTAGAGTGCTAGTTGTGTCTAGTTGGTGCCGTGGGGTCGGGGAGCAGAAGAGTGAATCGCAAAGCACACTGCACTCCTTACACACAATGTGTGACCCTGGGTTATCGTCGTTCGGTGGGCTCTGGAAGAGGCGGAACGTGGTTAACGATGTTGGCCCAACAACAACATCAGAACTCTCGCTAAAGTCTGATACGGATGAGGACCGGGAAAAAGGCGGACCAGGGAGGACGGACTTGAGGTGGACACGGCAACGGTGCAGATGGAGAAGCAACTCGAGTGCCAAGTTGATGATGGATTGACGACAGGCGTCGACGGTGACCGTTAATAAAACCGAGACTTGAATGAATTCAAGTCGCGATAAAGGACGCGTCCGAAACTCGACTTTGCTCCAGTCAAAGGTGGATTTGGATTGTCGAGAATTGGTGATTGATGGCTCTAGACTGGCTCGAAAGGGTCGAGGGGAGTGGTGGGAAGGGGGGGGGGCATGGACCGTATGAAAACCGAATGGACAATATTTTTTTTTGATTGGGTCTGGGTCAACCCGAGCTCATCAATGGAGGGGGCCGAGGGGCACACGGCACTGTAGCGTACAAAAGTAGGTAGGTGCCTCTCGGCATAGCATAGGTAGGGCAGGCAGACATTAGAAGCGCCCAGGTTCCCGCCGCCGCGTCGCCAACATCCCGTTAGAGCACAGCACCATTTGCTATGTGATCACCTAGTAAATTGTAACTATCAAGCGGCAGAGGTCCGCTAAAACTACGGAGTGGGGCAGTGGCATCTTGAGGTGGCCACCGGCTCAGGCCTTTCCTTCCTCCAACCTATGGAAAGCTCCAGGGCGGCTCCAGCTTCCACAACTTGTGTGCCCGGGCTTCCATTGCCGGGTGGGTAGGGCGTCTGTGATGATCATGATCAACAACATGGAAGGGAAGCAGGACTCGGAGGTGATGGCCCAGATGAAATGTAGGTGACAGAAAATGGTGGATAGGCCTGATCTAACCCCAGTTGCCCCGCTGGATATGGATGGACCTTCATCGACAAAAATTGCGCCAGGCTGCCTTCAGTTCGCACCTCAGCCTACCTCTACTTACCTACACTAGATTGCCTCTGGGTGCAGCGCAGCAACGGTCAACAGGTGACAGCCTCAGCCCTGTTCTGCCTGCCCTGCAGGTGACCTTATCGCCGGACACTACCTACAGACTATTTGCACGCCTTAGTGTGAGAGTAGCCTGACAGTCAGTGATGCGAGGAGGCTAGTGCTTCCCGCGCATAGGCTAGACAGGGGCAACCCCGCACCATCACGTTAAGGCATGCTCAGGATACGTGCCGCGGCTGGACCATCGTCATTGCTCTCTTGTTTCTGGACTTGAGAATCAGGCGGACGTTTCCATAGGTTCCTGTTGCTCTCGACTGGTCAATGCTTCTTCTTGCTTCGTCAGTTTCGTTGGCAGTCGCAACAAGCCGATCTGTCAGTATCTTTCTCGTTTTGGTCTCGACTTTATCACTGAGTGTTTGATTCAGTTCCATACTACTACTTACACTCTCCTGCCAGATATTTCAGAATTTCAGATACACTTCCACCATTACCTACCACATACTCGGTTGCGCAAAGACGGCGGCGGCAACGACCCCGAGATTGCGGACAAGCTCAAGTGAAACGCACCAACCTCTACATACCTCTACATACGAAGCATACTTGTACCTTCCGAACAGCGGAACCGACTACGACGGCAGCGGTCACCTTGAACTTTTGGCAAAGATACAGTACCAGTAGTAGCTTCTCTCCGCGCATCGATCTGTTGTGAACCATCTCCAACTACCCTAAGCTCTCTTCTTTCTTCGGTCTTATCCGCATCATCGCCGTGTCCGACGCGAGTGCTTCAAGTTGCGTGCATTATTACCCGAGAAATCCAGCAACAACACCATCAATAATAACACTACCACCACATCTCGGAAGCCTCGATGGAGTCCTCATCAGAAATCCCCAAATCGCCCTCTCCTGGCACGTTGGCCAGCGCCAACCCGGGCTTCCAGGTCTCTGACACTGCACTGTCGGGCGCCTCGCTCCCGTCTCCTCCAGAACGCTCCAGCTCTCAAGGCGGCAACCCCTTGTCCAAAACAACGAGCAATGTTTCGTCGCATTCGCATCGCCAGAGCTTCGCCGAGAACCAACGTCATCCGCCCCCCTCGCCACGTACTCAGAGACACCCCTCCTTCACGCAGCAAGCAATTCAAGACCTGATGAACCACCCACCGCCAAACCGCCATCAAAACCCTCGCTATGTCGGCCGCGACTGGCGGGACATTGCCATTGGCGAGTTATTGCAGCCGGATGAGGTTAAATGGGCGGAACTGGACACCAGTATCCAAGAGGCCACCAAGGTGCGACAGTACCTCTGTGCCAATCTTCGTTGTTGGTTTGGACCTTGCTGATATCGTTACTTACTGTCCAGACCCTGCTTCAAAGTAGTCCGAACAATGTGGTTCTTGTCCGCCAGGACTCGTCTTCGAAGGAAGCCGTTTCTACCTTTGACCACAGCGATCTCAATGCCTACCTTTTGGCCGTGGTAGGCCTCGCAAAGCCTGAAGAAGAACAGGTTGCTCTATATACAGATATTTCGGTCAAAGCGCAGTCTCAGGAGGAGATCCCGTTACGTACCCTCCAACCCATCTTTCGCCACGAGGAACTGGTGAAGCTCCCAGCCGATTCCACTCTCGATAAAGCCATTGAAGTGTTTGGAGGTGGCATTCACCGCGTTCTGGTCACTAATAAGGACTCAGAAGTGGTGGGTATCTTGAGCCAGTTGCGCCTACTTGAGTTCTTCTGGTACGAGGCCGTCAATTTCCCCTTAATTGATCGTCTCTACACGATCCCGCTGCGTGATCTTCAAATCGGGACGCAGCAAATCATTGCCATCAAGTAAGCCACCTCCGCTTTGTGTACCTAAGTTGCCCAGTGCCATGAAGTCGCTTGGCTAACATCTCCTAGCGCTGACGCTCCTCTTGCCGATGCTCTCTTTCTCATGAGCTCCGAGGGCCTGACATCCGTCGCGGTTGTGGATAACGGCCACAACGTTGTGGGAAATATCTCCACCGTTGACGTGCGCCTCCTAACCAACGCCAACAGTCTGCCCCTGCTCAAGGCTTCATGCATGCACTTCGTCAGCGTCATTCTGTCCGAACGTGGTGTCGAGCATGGCCGTGACTCCTTCCCTGTTTTCTACGTCAATCCGTATTCTACCCTAGCTCACACGGTCGCCAAGCTGGTCGCAACGCAGTCTCATCGTATGTGGGTAGTTGAGTCCGCTTCGCCGTCGCCTAGCGCCCCGGCTACACCTTTGCTGCAGGCTTCCAGCTTGCCTCCCCTTTCGACGTTATCACCTCCGGTTGCTTCGCCCGGCAGAGCGGGCAGTCCTGCCCCTGGATCGGCAGCTGTTGTCGTTCCTCCACCAGGTGCCATCACAACGTCGACGCCCCAGTCGCCGTCAGCACAGGGGCCATTCACCTCGGTTCCGGCTTCGGCGCTGCCGGGTGCTGGACTGTCAGGGCGCTTGACAGGCGTGGTGTCGTTGACGGACATCCTAAACTTGTTTGCAAAGACAAGTGGCCTGAGGCCGTTGGATCCTAGTGAGCAAAGGGCTAGGAGAAGACGGAGCTCGAGCTGTTCAGTCCGACCTACGCTGGATACTGGGAGAGATAATGGAAGAGGAAGCGTTGATTTTCGAAGGTGATGTCATGTATAAGCAGAAATCAAAGTTAAACACATGGACAGCTTAAGGTAGATTCGATAATTACTTTTGTAGGTAGCAGGAGGGTGCAGTCCGATCAAGACAGCCCCGATATGCATAAAACGGAACAGCTATGGCTTGAAACAAAAGGGGATGCATTCTACTGCCTTCCCTATATCTACTTGGTAAGGCATTCGTTATGGGTGGCTAGCTAGATTGGGATGGTTGCTGTGTCCATTCTCTATACGGGGTTCCATATATGATGCCAGCCTTTCAAAGCTGCAAACTAAACCGAAATATAATACTTTTCGACTATGCAATGGTGCCAGTATCGCGCTGATTTCTTTCTAGCTAGTAGTATGGTTTTTCATGACTTGCATGTCACAGACTAGCACGCCATTAACCTCAGCTTATGGCAGGGCTGCTCCCTCTTTGCTCCTAGACGGTGATACCTTTCGCTTCACCTACGTCCGGGTATCCAAACACACTCCTGCTCTACCTCTCCCTTGGTCTCGGCCTCGACCTTTGATCCCCCTCTCGCCGCTTTTAGAGCGCCTGAGCCTTAATATCCACCACCTATTAAAGGGACATCGAAACAGGGTATCTATCTATCCCATGCATACCCAGGTTCCCTGAAAACGCCCCCCTCCCTTTCCCTCTCCATTAAAACACCGAATTATAGGAACAAAGTAGTACTGGTACAGGTACAACAACCCTTTCCACATTTGTGTTGTGGGCTGAGGGGGGTTTGGTTGCTAGATCTTGCTCCATCTTATTCAAAGCAGTCGTAAGATGCCGAACCTCCACGTAAGCACACCATTTAATCCACTCCCATGCTCTGATTCCAATCGAACTGGGGATCGTCTTCTGGTACTCCAATCCCGGCACCATCGAGCCTCAACCCATCGTCGGCTTTGAGAGCACCATTTCGTCGAGCTGTGGGCTCGTGAGAACCATGTGTGAAATCCGAAGTGCTGCCGCCATCGCCATCGTCGTGCTCGCCCTCCTCATCCGACTCCGGGAAACTCCCCGCCATCTTCAAGCTCATCCCCCTTTCCCGCCCGCGCATATGCGGGGGCAGGTGGTCGTCATCATTACTCACGTGAGACACACTCCACCTTCTCACTGATGAAAACAGCGTTGTTGCTGCTGACGGTTTCCGTTGGGGGAAACTGCTGTTGTCCTCCGTCTCGTCCGAAAGATCCCACTGCACGGGTATCCTCTCGCCTCCCTCGCCGGATCCCAAGACCGCGCCGCTCTTTTGTCCAGCGGTGATGCGCGCCGCAACGGTAAGCATGAGGCTCATCAAGTGTGTGGGAGGCGCCATCAAGATTTCGAAGGACTTATTGATGACCGTCATGGGTAGCTTGCGCACCACTTCGAGCTTGCTGGTAGAGGGCGCCCTTCGACGAGGCGCAAACAAATCCGCAGCGCGTGGTAGGGGTGAAAGCGCTCTCCTACTGGGGGATATGCTGCTGCTTGTTGTTGGACGGCCGCGGATGAGAGAGCGACGACTGCTGACGGAGGGAGATCGGGAACGGGAAGTCGGTGATGCGTTGGGCGACGGAGTAACTAATATCAGTCCTGTTGTTGTTGGGCTACATGGAGAGTCGATGTCATGGGTAGACGAGGGAGCTGTGCCGTGAAATGTCGAGCTGGAGGTGGCGCTTCGATCAATTGCTACCGGGCTGGTATCCGATGTCTGGGACATGTTAGATTGATTTGCCTTATCTAACGTAAGGGTTGATGAGTCTGCGGCTGGTTCGTTCCTCTTTCCAGGTGGACAGGAAGAGCCTGAAGGAGACGTCGGCTTGGATAAGGGTGGGGAAGGGGGGAAAATATGAGAGTTGCATGACCGTACACTGTGGAAAGAGTCGCGGGAGGTTACCGAAGACTGTGATCCGGGTATTTCTGGCGCATGGCCGTCCAGTTGATGTATGGATGATGGCTCAGTAAAGTGCGGTGCAGTAATCAACGTTAGCTGTGGGGGTGCGGCAACAGAATGACTAGTTTGCTGGCCGCTTGGTATAAGAGGGGTCCTTGTGAAATTCCGCGAAGACAACGACTCTGGCTGCTGTGGTTCCTCCTCCGGCTGACTTGAGAGTGTAATGTCGGGTACCGAAACGATGTTATGCTCCTGTATTCTAAACAGATCATCGCTGGTGGGTAAGGTTGACTGGCTTGTGGTACCAGTCGCTCTTCTCTTGCGCACTCTGATAGTGTCATCTTTAGGCGGACCTCGGTGTACACGGGCAATCTGGGCGGGTATGGTGATCGCGCTGACCGGGGTGGGAATGATGGATTCACTAGATCTCCTAACAGGAGTCCACGGTTTCTTAATAACCGGCGTCTGCGGACGTTCGGGTAGCTCGACGGTAAAGGATCGCTGAAAAGGGCATTCAGTCTTTTCGAATTGTAGGATTTGGTCGAAAACCTCACGCAGAAGCTGCGCGCGTCGTACATCCTCCGGGTCGTCAACAGGTACCTCGATGCGCCAGTACTGGGGCCTCCGAATTTGTAGGATGAATTTGCTCGAGTCCTCATCAACACACCAAGCCTGGCTTTTTGGAAATATCGGTTGTAGGGCAGAACCGCAGTTGAGAAAGGTGATCGAGCCAGGGGCACGGTATATTCTGAAATGTCCTGTAATGTGATATTGTCAGACTTCCGAAACCACACACGCTCCAGTTTACGGACATACCGACTGCAATGGTCCTCTCCAGATGGGAAGACCACGGCAGAGAGCCCGGCTCGACGCTGGTAGGGGTATTAGGAGGAGTGGGACCGAGGGTCGGGGGCCGGTTCCCAGCAGTAAAGGATATGATTTTGACCGAAGGGTGACTGTAGAGCGTATCGACTAGGGCATGGCTTGTTTCTCCTGCTGATGTAGACGGTCTTTGGATCTGAGAGTCTATAGGAGCCGTAAAGTTGCGGCGCGGAGCCGTATCGGCGAAGGGATTCGAGAACTCCATTGTTCGCAGCTTTATGATGTCGCGGAGAGCATCGTGACGCGGAGGAAAGACGGCTAGACTCAGCACATGGAGAAGCTGCGGTCGGAGGGAAATCGGACAATATTATACGGTACTGGTCGTCGGCGCGTGGGTGGTGTTTCCGGTCAGAGCGAGTCGCTGAGGCTGTCACAAAATGGCACGATTTAGTTCTCGATGTCTGGCCAGCCGACGTCACAGTGCTACGCTGGGTCAACGCGAAGCGCTCAGCGTCGTCGCTGGGTGGTAATGGCTTGCAGGTAGGTTTCGGAAAGCAACGACATCAACAACAGCTGGTTGAAGAGATCAAGACGGGAGTCTTGACAAAGGAGATTCTAGGGGCGGAAATCGTGGGAAAGAATTATTTCGATAAATTGGACGGTGACAGTGTTTGCACCAGTGCTAGACTAGACACTAGTCTAGTAGTAGTATCCACGTAGGGAAGACGCAGCGGGCATAGGTCGGTCGGCAGGCCGGACGCTAACGCCAGGGGGAATTTAAATACGTATGGAATTGGAGGGACCCGCTGAGTAACAGGAAACAAAAGCCGATTCTCGGGCTGTTTCTCATCCGTTCGCTCTTTTCATAAGAGATGTCAAAGCAGTACAGTACCTACCTAGCAATGCGCTCCGTGTTCCGTCCGGTCGGGTCATCCGATCGTTGGCGTTTATCGCGCTTGATGAGGTTTATTGGTACTATAGTCATTAGTAACTACCAGATTCCACGGCGGTTGTTAGGTAGTGTAGATAGCCATCTGCCAGTACCACTTTGTGAAGCCTGTCCTTAACAAAGCCAGGGGGAACAGTGTATGCCGTGCGGATAACGTCTTTTTTTGGCTTAGCGCGACGTTGCCGGAGCCTCCGAGCACGGTCCACAAAGCGGGCACGGTGGGCTGTTGACATCATATTTTGGCATGTGCAAAGACCGGGGCTCGAGGCGTCAGCTCTTCCCGTCGCGCAGTCCCAGGTCCTCCCCTCCACCCGGCGTTTGTCGCAATCATTTTCATCCGATCTAAACATTCCAAACGACTTCAGTCATCGTCCACACGAACGGGACACATCCATCTATCTACACCCGATAGTCCATCGATCGCCATGGCTACCGCCGACAGGCTCGAAAGGCGGCAGTCCTTCGACGTTGTAGCCGAACAAGTAAAACGAAAGTTCGACATCTCCCACTTCGACCTCAATGCCATTATCAGAGGTGCCCAGCTGACGCTTGTTGGTGGTATGTTATAATCCCGTGGTGCGCCTGTCTCCCGGGTCTGCCCACATTGCCTACCTAGGTACTGACATCTTGCGCCTACATAGCCCAACGGGCACTGCAGAATCCCGGCATCTTCACCTCACGACACTACAAACAGGCCGCCATTGCTGTAGCTGCTGGCATTCTCATCCGCTTGCTCATATCCATACCTGTATGGAGTTCCTCTCTCCCCGCCCATATAGGTAGCTTGCGTATGCTTGCTTGTTCTGACACTTCTTTTCTTAGATCATCGGCATCAGGGTCCTACTCTGGTTCCTGTCCTTTGGGATCGATCTACGCAATGCTACCTGGGACGACAAATTGGTGGGCGGGCTGGGCTTCGTTGAGGAACATGTTCTCCAAGCCCCCCTTTTTTTCATGAGTTTGATGCGATATGTCACTCCCACGTTGGATGATCTGTATGTTCCCATATGGCGTACTTCCACTTCTCAGGAGAGTCTGCTAACCAGTCGCTCCATAGATTCATGGACTCAATCCGATGGGTAGATACAACCTATGTCAACAAGCATAAGCATGACGAGGACCCTAGCAAGCTTCGACCCATGTACTACCCGAACCTGCGCCAGTACTCGGTCAGAGACGGCACCACGAACTCGACAAGCACCGCTGAGAATATCTCCATGTTTATCTACCGGTTCGCCAGGAAAGGCGCCATTTCGCTCGCCGTCTTTGCGGCCTCATACCTGCCTTATGTTGGCCGTTTCGTCCTTCCGGCAGCCAGTTTTTGGACATTCAACAGGGCAGTAGGTCTTGGCCCTGCCTCCGTCATCTTCGGCACCGGCATCCTCCTGCCCAGGAGGTACCTCGTTATCTTCCTGCAGAGCTACTTTTCCTCAAGGAGTCTTGTGAGGGAGCTGTTGGAGCCGTATTTTGCCAGAATCCGGTTCACTAGTGAGCAAAAGAGAAAGTGGTTCCGCAGCCGTGAAGGTCTCCTGTTTGGGTTCGGTATTGGATTCTACATCCTACTCCGTGTTCCTCTTCTTGGAGTCTTGATTTATGGCATTGCTGAAGCTGTGAGTTATCCCACCTCAAGCCTAGTCATGTATAGTGCTAATTCGATGATACAGAGCGCGGCCTATCTGATCACCAAGGTATCCGACCCGCCTCCGCCGCCGTCAGAGTCCAGCGGGTTCGCCGAGAGCCAACTCGAATGGAGGAACAAGCAGAAGTTCCTCAACTTGTCGTTGGCAAACATGGACAGCATCCATGACAAACCGCCTCCGTATTCGATCCATGACCCGAACCCTAAGACGGAACTCTGATTTGTATCTTGGCGACTTTGCCAGGACCCACACCTAACATCACTGGTGTAAGTTGGCATATGAAATTACAAAAGCGACTCCAGATCCTACACATCACAGCCTGCCTAAGCATAACTTGAATTGTATCATTACATAGACTATTGTCCCTTCTTGTCATCTTGAAACTGCATGTAGTTGAATTCCGTCAAGTAACGATGTAAGCAAGAGTACACTACACATTCCATGTAGGCCTATATAAGGGATTCTATGACAAAAAGCATACACTCACATGTTCATGGATCCATAGATAGGCCACGACTATTACGACTCGCGCAATATTTGAAAGTCCAAATGTCTCTATCGGGATGCCTCTTCCCTATCTTATCGCAAATTGCCGTCCATAGTAAGTGCCGGGACAGGACGGGAGTAGCTCGGCTTGGATTGAGGGGCGAGCGGGGCACTCCTCAAGGTCGGGAACAACGCGGGTGTCATTCGGGATATGATAAGGTTATCGACATTTACTTATCTCCAATGGATTCTCCTTTGGCTCGACCCGACAATAATGGTGACACCAATCGCCCTTTAAGATTTGGTAATTGCGAGCATACTAGTCCTGTTGATCAGCGTTTCCAAGAGGAACTATCGAAACTGCTGAGATATCTGGAAGCCAAGTACCGCACCGATATCGCCAACAGGATGCGGGGGTTTAGCAAGGAAATCGTCTATGACCTTTGGAGCCATTGACGATGATACATGGGTAGGTGATTATGCTAGAGAAGAGGTATAAGATTGTACATATAAATACGACATCCTCTCTACGGGATATGAGCTTACCTTTTGTCACCTGCTTAAAATTCTGCCCTTAAATCTCGTCTTCAACATCGGGTTCCCTGCGAGCACTTTTTGCCAGATACTGACTCGTCACTCTCCACTGTACCTACCAATTTTCAGTCAGAAACAACAAGGAAACAGACAGACAATATGGGCAAAACCGAGATCCGAACCGTCTGCAAAGTCGACTTTGACAAGCCCGCCTCCGAACAGCCTCAACTTCATGTTAGTGATTCCGTCTCTTTCTATCCAAACCTTGTCAGACAAGTCAAGATTAAAAAAACTGACAAAACCGTTCTACCCTCTTCCCACCCTTAAACAGAACAGATGGCACCCAGACATCCCGTTCGCCGGCTCCATCAAGGACGGCGAAACCGTGAAGATCGAGTGCGTCGACTGGACAGGCGGACAAATCGGCAACAATGATTCGGCAGACGACATGAAGAACGTCGATCTGACCAAGATCCACTACTTGTCTGGCCCCTTTGAGGTTGAGGGCGCCCAGCCGGGCGACTTGTTGCTGGTAGAGATCATGGATGTGCAGCCGTTCCAGGACCGGCCATGGGGCTTTACGGGTATCTTTGATAAGGCAAATGGGGTATGTTCCTCTTTCTCTCTTTTTCCTTCCCCTCTTGGTGTTGGTGGAAGTAAAACTGTTGCTGACTGAGAGAGTGGCACAGGGCGGCTTCCTAGACGAAATCTACCCCTCAGCGGCCAAAGCCATCTGGGACTTTGAGGGCATCTACGCCACCTCGCGCCACATCCCCGGCGTCAAGTTCGCCGGCTTGATCCACCCGGGCATCATCGGTTGCGCTCCCTCGGCCGAGGTGTTGGCCACGTGGAACAAGCGTGAGGGCGAGCTGGTGGCTGCCAACAAGCTCGCCGATCGCGACGTGGCTCATCTGCCGCAGCCCATCAACACGCACGCCGGCGCGGCCAGCAAGGAAATTGCTGAAAAAGTGGCCAAGGAGGGTGCGAGAACGGTCCCCGGAAGGCCGGAGCATGGAGGAAACTGCGACATCAAGAACTTGAGCAGGGGATCCAAGGTGTACCTCCCCGTCCATGTGCCCGGGGCCAAGTTCAGTGTGGGTGATTTGCACTTCTCGCAGGGCGATGGCGAGATTTCATTCTGCGGCGCTATTGAGATGGCCGGCGTGATCACTATTAACTTCAAGGTGATCAAGAACGGGGTGGAGGGTATGGGGCTCAAGAGCCCTATTTACATCCCGGGTCCGGTCGAGCCTAGCTTTGGACCAGGCAGGTATATCTACTTTGAGGGGTTCTCTGTTGATGAGCATGGGAAGCAGCGTACGTTTTTGTTCCCCCCCCCCCCCCCCCCTTCAACTATCCCAGTCCCATTACCGTCATCAAACTTCGGTGCTGACTACGCATGCTTTCGACAGATTACATGGACGTAACAGTCGCCTACCGCCAGACCGTCCTGCGCTGCATCGAGTACCTCCGCCGCTTTGGCTACTCCGACTACCAGATCTACCTGCTGCTCTCGTGCGCGCCCATCCAGGGCCACGTGGCCGGTATCGTGGATGTGCCCAATGCCTGCACAACGCTCGGTCTGCCAATGGATATCTTTGACTTTGACATCTCCCCCGCCGCAGCGCTCAAGGCCGGAGAGACCAAGAGAGATCT